GGTGTAAAACTTGCAAGATACTCTTATTTCCTTAATTAACCATTTTCAGGCCATTGCTTAATCCTCTGGTTGACTAGCTTATTGGCGGGAGGACATTCAAAACCTGGGCAAAACACAAAACACAAAGTTCAGAGGTACTCTGTGCCTGGAGTTGTGGATAAGACACTTGACGCTAAAGAAAACAGAAAATTGGTGATAGCTAAGGCAAATTGGCATAATCATCCTAGTGAAAATGCAAGCGGGGGATACTCAGGGCCATGCTTAGCCCAGGTGTGTGCTGAGGCACGCTGGGATGCAAACAGCACTAATTTACTGAATTCAGTGGATCAGCCCTGACATTTACATAGAATCTTATAAAAGAGTCAGCTATGAAGCAGCATCTGTTAGCAAGTAGGCACCTATCTATGTATTTACATTCATTACTGGATACATATGCGGAACAATGGAAAGTCTTCTCTTCTGCTATAGAAATAATATGACACATTATTTTCATAACAGTCTGGCAGTCAATAAAGAACAAGCAAAAGGAACACAGTAGCACTTTTCAAATGCGCACAGGACTGCTTGGGAATTTCGCTGTTTCAGGAACGTACGGTCCAGAAATAGTAAGCTGCTTTCAGTCTGATATGCCAAATATTGAGTAATTTTCTGGGACATATGTTTTGGAAATTTGGGGGGAAAATAGTGTTCGGGCAGTATCTCTTATGTATTCATTATGCAGTATGAAAAACAGGCTGATCCGAGCCATCAGAATTAGAGTGTCATTCCTTCCAGTACCTAAGAAAGATCTTTGTCCTGTTGGTGCTTCTTTTTCTTTTCTTTTCTTTTTCTTTTTAACATACATTTTTCAGTATTTCTCCAGGAGCTTAAAGCATTTAGACATGGCAGAGACCTTTTGGAGTTATCTGTGCATGACTTTGGCTCTGGCTCTGGAAACAGAACTCCAACGATGGGTTGATGCTTTATCATCCTAACCTTTAAAGGACAGGGACTAAGGATATTGTGGTCTGCCTCTGTGACCCAGTTTAAAAGTCTCCTCCATTCCCACTGCAAGGTACATTTGTCAGAAGACAAATTCAGAAACCCTCCACGACACTTTATTTCCTAATAAATTTTGTCCTCCCCCCAGAATTGTCAGTCTTTATCCCAGTATGTGCAGTACCCCAGTCTTATCTCCTGTCCCAGAGGTCATAACTGAGTGATGAGGATAACTCAGTGAGTCAAGCACACTCTTCATTGACTTTCCCCTTCTCCCAGTCTTCTCTCACTTTCTAACTCACAAGTGATCTCTAACTACTAGAAGGAAGTATGAAAATAAACATGGGTTGCCATGTTTTCAAACTGACTTGAGGCCTGTTGAGATTTTATGTATGTGATGCATTGGTTTGTATTACCCTCGTTCCCTGAGAACTCCAGAGGTATGCCCCACAGATGGAGTGATTTAAATCCCTTGGAATGTGTCTCTTATGGTAGCATACTGACTTCCATGATCATAGAACCTCTAAAATCCAAGTGTGTGGTGGTAAGTATCCTTTGAAGTAAGCCCACCTTCTCCATCTCTCCTCGTTTGTCGTGGGGAGGACGTCTCCAGAGTTTCCATTCTGAGTCAGAGAAGAGGGGAGTGTGGTGCTAATTAACAGTGAGACCCAGATGTAAGCAAATTCCAGAGAGCAACAGGGAGCTCTTGGGTTCCCTGTAGGACCTGTAGGGGCTGTTTCCCACAGTCCTTCACAAATAATGACAAACAGAAAAAGTTGTTTTTAATGCGATGAAATGGTTGAGGACATGGGCTAAATGCAGACTCCCAAATCTATGTTTTTAAAGATTTTATTTATTTCAAAGAGGGAGAGACGGAGAGAGGGAGAGACCACAAGCAGGGGGAAGGGCAGAGGGAGAGGGAGAAGCAGATTCCTAGCTGAGCAGGGAGCCGACCTCAACCAAAGGCAGACGCTTAACCGACTGAGCCACTCAGGTGCCCCCCAAATCTACTTTTTTTTTTTTTTTAACTATCTGTACGCTTTAGACAAAGCTATGTAATCTCTTTAACCTTTTCTAAACAAGTACTCACCTTATCTGTGAACTAGAAATTATAATAGTACCTATCTCATAGAGTTGTAATGAAGATTAAATGAGTCAATACCTGAAAAGCACATTAAATAGTGCCTATTGCATAGGAACTGGTCAGTAAATTTTAGCGATCATTAGCTCTTGTATGTTTCACTTGTGAAATCAGCTTCGCGTGGAGAGCATGCTTAATCATTTCGTTCAGACTGCGAAAAGGAAAGCCAGCACCATGCCCAGCTTTCTGGAAGTATTTATTGTCCTAGGTATATTGCTACACTTTACTTGGCTTTACTTAAAATATCATCGTCAGATTGTGTTATTTTAAGTTCAGTGAAATAGGGCCACTATCATATTTAGTGGGCATAAATTAAAATGAGCACATTTCTCTTTTTACCTAAATTCAAAAGCAACATGGCTGTTTTTTATTATATGAGTGTGTAATGAACGAAATATATAAAATTACTTCTGGTTGGGAAACAGAGCAATGATGGTGTGTGTGTATTTTAAATGGCATTTTTCTGTCTGTAAAGAAAAATGTTCTCTTTGGGGTATTTCACACATCACCCCAAACTAAAATTTATACCTGGATCTGTGGTTACTCTTTCTGGAAAGCAGTAACTTTACCCAGTGGAGAGTACTTCTAGAGCGCCTTTATTATTTTACTAAAATTTACACTATAGATTATATTACAAGAGAATTTATAATGGTTTTGAATGACCTGCTTTAAGTGATACCAGACCATCTTAGAATAGTTCACATAAATTTTCACATTTTACCAGAACAAAAAAAGGGTTTACATTTTAGAAATTTATGAAAGTGGCTATTATGTCAAATATACTTTTAAATAGAATCATATTTTTAATTGTTTACTGGTATAACTGCTACATACCAGCAACTGTGTTCAATGTTGAGGGTACAGATGGGAAAAAAACACAATTTCACAGGAGTATGAAGACACGAGGAAATTAACAATAAGTGTATTGAGAGCTGTTTCAGGGACCCAGGGAACAAAACATAGCAGCCCTACGAGGAGTGGCCGCGGAGGGCAAGGTGTGCAGAAGAGTAGTTCTGGGAGGAAGCAGGGAAGAGGTCAGTGTGGTGTGAGTGAGGAAAGCATTTGGAGACATAGCTAGTCACGTGTCTGGACATCATGGAGGCCCCAGCCCTGCTGCTGCTTGTCAGGCAGGTCAAGGGTTTTGAATTTCTTCCGAAGACCAGGAAGAATCATAGAGAGGTTTTTAGTTTGAGTTTCATATTTGAATTTTGGGGAAGTTCCCCTGTTGGCAAAATTCAAGATAGATTGAAAGAGAACCAAACGAGAGGAAGGAAAACCAATATAGGGGGCAAGGATAATAGAGAATCTTGTGAACGAAGGCAGTGGGAATGGAAAGGAAGATTGGAGATTATTTTGTAGGTAAAACTAGTAAGACTTAGTGACTGACGTCAGTCTGGATGAGGAAAGAATGAGGTAAGGATAGTGGCGCTGCTCTCCACCAAGAGGAGGAGTTTAGGGAAAGAAGCAAGAGAGAAAGGGAATTTCTTTTTAGCCATAAGTTAAATTTTACATGTGGGGACTTCCCATTTATCATGGTGTTTCCTAGTGGAGATAACCAGGTGGCTGTTAGAAACCCAGATTTTAATTCTTCAAGTATAACCACAAAGTAGAGAGAGATATTAACTCATGTAAGGTCGTTTACTATGAGCATGTGTTTAGTAAAAATAGGTGGTCTGAATAAAAATGAGAAAATATAAGAGCTAAAAATGGAGACCTCAGAAAATACTCGTATTATAAGTGCCAGAAAACTAGAGCCTCCAAAAGGTCCTTTAAAGTTAATAGTGAGAAAAAGCAAAAAGTGGACAAGAAATGCCACAGAAGCAAGAGAGGTTAGGACCGAGGGACTCTACATAGACCTAGAAAATGTCTGAGAACATAAACACCAAATTATCAGTAGTGGCTGGCTGTGGGGTGTGGGACTGAAGAGAATGATGCTAGAGCTGAGAATTTTCACCGGATATTTGATTTTTTTTTTTTTTTAATGAAAGTGTTTTATACCTCTCTGTACTATTTTGGCAACTTGATGTGAGCTTTTCATTATTTCACAATGAGAAGTGAAAACCAAAGTCAGGTTAAAATGTAAGGGATAGTCCACTGGAAAGGAAAAATAAATCAAGCAAATAAGCTTCTTAATCAGAACAGGAGAAGGAAGGGGCAGCACGAGGCAGTCCGCACTGTCTGTGCTGTAGGTAGGTCAAAGAAGATAAGGACTTGTCAGCCTTTCAGCTTGGTTTTTAGATTAGGCCACAAGCGACGTTATTAAAAGCAACTGCCATGAAAAGCCAAGGGCGGAAGCTTCACTGCATTTGTTGCCAAGTAGAAAGTAAGGACGCGAAGAGGTGGCATAGTCATCTCCTCGGGGAGGAACGTGAGTGTGAAGGGAGGAGGTAGAGATAGGGATGGAGGGTCCAGCAAGAGGGAACTGTTTGCTCAAGGTCCTTACCGAGGCAAGGAAGAGATCGATGCGTACTCCCTTGGTCATGGGGACTTATTGCAAATTACCCAGAATGGGAGGTAGCATGGGGATTTGACCTGTCAGCCCCCTTTTTTGAAAACTGGGTTCTGCAGGCCATGTTTTAAGGACTTGGAGAAGGCCCTCAGCAGGATTTCTTGGCGGGATGAGACCTGAGCTTATTTCCATGCTGGAGGTAGGCACCGGTCAAGGGCAGAAGCTGTCAAGGACGGAGGAGTGTTGAGATACTTAACTAAAGGAACGTAGCCTTCATTTCTGGAATGAAGTCTCATACAGAAGTACAGAACTCTTCTTGTTCCAAAGGCTAAGCTAACTGATAGATTGTAAGCATAAATTCACACTAGAAAAGAAATGAGGATGATATAAATAAGCTACTAAATTGCTTCCTTTTTCCTTCTTCTTCTAAAGCCGAACAACAACTTATCCTTACACAGAAACGCAGATGTACAGCCAAAACACTGGAGGGAATTACTTTGATACCCAAGGGAGTTCTGCGCAGGTGACTACCGTGGTTTCGTCCCACAGCATGGTGGGCACTGGTGGGATTCAGATGGGCGTCACGGGAGGACAACTCATCAGCAGCTCTGGAGGAACCTATCTCATCGGCAATTCCATGGAGAACTCCGGTCACTCAGTGACACATACCACTCGGGCCTCCCCAGCGACAGTAAGTATTTGAGTTTTTGTTTCTTTCATTTAGCTTCTTGGTAGCCTCCATGGTACATTTTCTTCTCGAGGGAAGAAAAAAAAATAACACAGACTGGGGCGGGCATGAATGTGTTAAGTAGTTTTAGTTCTGTGGTATTTTCCAGAACGTGGCCTGTGTGCCTCTGTGCGGGTTGATACTGATATGTCCCCCCGCGTTACGTGAGTTGGAAATTTTTTTATGAGTTATGGGAAGAGAGGTGAGTCTTCCTCATTGATGCTGATTTTTATAGGCTTCCTTCAGTGATATGTAGTAAAATACTGTAAATTTCTGCTGAAAGAACTCACTTTTATCTTATGCTGATTTACACTGGCTTATGAAGAGTAAAATACAATTGAGTTTGAATTTTCACATCTTTCAGTAGTAGTCTTAACTCATCACCAGAGCAGTTACCATACAGGCAGCATTTCCCAAACCTCAGACATTTAGTTTGGCCATATTCACTCAGATCGCCTGTACTATTATTTATTCAATGTATTTTTAAAAATTGATTCACTTCTAAAATAGAAAACTGTGTAATTTTTTCTAAAATATATAGAAACCCATACTTAAATAGTAAAGTTAGAAGTGTTTACCCGTGTGCCATGTTATAAAGTCCCTCTGTTCAACCACAGAGACACTTTGGGAAAGACTGATGTAGGTGATTGCAGTGAAAAAACATCTCCGTTGGCTCTGGTGATAGGCGTGAGCATGTGTCTGAGGAACCTGCCTACATATTTGAGTTTTCAAGTTTTTAAAATTTAATACAAAGATTTATTTTGACACAGATTTTAATGTATTATAATGCTGTCCTAGAAATAGTAATAACAAGCTGTGTAGAATTTGATACCCTCAAACTGTGTCCTGAGCTTTCCAGCCTCCCCTCTAAGGAGGATAATCACTGAGAACCACCCCCTGGCTGAAGTAGCAATGGAAGTGGTTATGTACGGGCTTCATGTAAAAGGGGGCTGGCGATTTGAATTAAGTGCATTTCATAATCTTGCCGTATATTTTGTTCTTACAATGAAACAGAGGTAGAAACAAATTGAATAGGAAATAATTATGACAGGCTTTACCTTTCTCATTTTATGGATTTTCCTCAAGATATAATATGTACCTGGTAAGTATTTTGTATATAATTTTTATGTTTCTAATCATTGCATGTGTTCAGACTTTCATCACTTGGTACTTTTTCCCTGCTCCATCTCTAAAAGCTCATTATATTTAATCTACTATTCCCTACTAACATCAGAACAGATGACTTGCCATTCTGAGGGAGAGCTCTTCTTTGTACTTCTTTCTTTGTGTTTTTGAAGCATTTCTTTGTGTGTTTGTCTCTTGCTTTTAATACCACTAAATATGACATTTCTAAACTTTTTAGCCACGCTGTTGTATTTATGTCGATTAGAAACGAAATCATGGGTTCTCTGGACCTCATTCCCCTAGCAGTAAAATAAGGGCTTAGTTAAACTAAATGATATCTTAATTTCCTCCCAGCTTTAAAATCATAATATTTACAATTGTAAATTGTAAAATGTTGTAGATTATCTTTACCATAAAAGGAAAGGAGGTAGATCAGGTACCGTACTTTATAGCGCTCCTGATAAAGGCTACTCAGAAGGTCATTTTCAGTGAAAAGGGAGATACTTGCCACTTGTTGGGGCCTGAGGAGAATTGAAAAATGGGGAGAAAGAGTTCTTTCCCACTGTCCTTTCACCCACCCTCTCCCATGCTGGCGTTCCATCTGCCCCATCCCCAATTCTTCTCCTTCCTTTTCTCCAGGAGTTGTTGTCTATCTTCACACTGACTGCCGGCTGTCTGCTAAACATTGTCATCCACTGAATACTGGTTTCCTAAATTTATTAGTATTATCACTGAGTTCATAAAATTGATGATTTGGGATCATGACAGTATAGTTGCAAATGTAACAGTAAGTTTTATAGTTTGTTTTTTTGTTTTGTTTTGTTTTCTATGTAGAGTATGAAAAGTGGCATTACTCTTTCTAAGTTGTCCACTACACAGATTTGATGTGTGATTTTTTTTTTTAAACTAACACTTAAAATAGTTGAGTTATAGTAACTGGGAATAGTGGAAACCTATTAAAAACCATCGATCCGTAGTATCAACTGTATATATTAATTTATACTTTTTTTAAAAGAACATTAATACCTAAGGTTCTTTTATTAAGATTGTTCTTTTGGTCCTTGTTAGCAAAAGGAATAAAAAAGTTAAATAAAAAGGTAACTTTGCATGGAAAAATCGTAAGGTCAAAGCACAAATGATAATGTCCTATGATAGATATATCTATCCATCTAATAATCCAAATATTATAATATAATATTTATAATATGATCTATATAATAACATAATAATAAACAATCTAAATATACTTCTGCTAGTGTTGATTGTATTATCTTCCATTATTACCAAGATTTATATTTGATTTAGATTCTTCTCTCAATAGTGCAAAAGATCATCTCCTTCATTCACCATGAAGTGTACAGTTTCGCATCTGTTATTCTAGTAAAGGTAACAAAGTCTAAGTGCCATGCAACCTAGTTACGATTTCCTACCATTCTCCTTTTACCAAATGTTCAAAAATTTGTAGCTTCTGGTTGTTTAGACTCCTAGAACTCCAAAGATTATTTTGGTAGGTACCATGTCATTAAAGGGAATTTACTTATTTTCATGTATCTTTTTCATTCTCTGTAGAACCCATATGAGCACAATCTTGAGCCACTTGTTGGTCAAGACTCAAGCTGTTTCTTTCAAACATTGAGCCAGGCTGTGCCATTGACGTTCATCTCCCTCCGTGTTCTTTAGTGCTCAGCCTGTCTCCTGTAGCATGCTTAACACAACTGAATGGGTAGCAGTAGTCTATACCGTGGCCAGAATTCCTGCTTGGGAAATAGTCTATTGGGGTTATTGCTTAAGAGGTCATAAGAATTAGAATGTACAGTCAGCTAATTCAGTTAATGTGAAACTGGTTAAGTTTTGAGTTCTTGGGAACAAGAGAACTTTACTCAGTTCGTGGGTAGCAAGGTTTCTTGCCCTGGTTCTCAGAAGAATTGCCTTGACTCTCTCTTGCACTTGACTTTAGTCTATACAGAAATCCTTCTATCTAAATTTAGTAGGAATAACTTCTGGCTCAAAGAAAAGTTTATTTCAATGTGCAAACCCAGTTCCCAAGATACGCCAATAGAAACAAAATGATCATTTCAAATTGAAGCCATTGCTAAGAAGAATAAACAGTTCTTGAAATATTTTCTTACCTATCTAATATTTCATATATAACCATTTTTCTTATACTAGAAAGATCTCTGAGTGATTAATGGAAAATTTGTATTTGAGCAAATGATTCCCTTCGGTTCTATAACTTTAAATGACAAAACATTTACATAACGTGTTTTAGTATTTAATCTTTGCATTGTAAAAGTTTTCAGATTTCAAGTTACATAGAAATAACAGAATTTTCTGAAAGATTATGATGGCAATATATACAATTTTATTTTATGACTATATATTATAACATAAACTACTGATATTCAGATTTGGTCAAGACACTATTTCTCCTTTTACTGTATATTTTTATTTGATTATTGGAGTTGTGTGTATAATTCATATGCACATACACACATATATACATATATGTTTTTATTTATATAAGTATGTATACACACACAGTAATAGACATTTCCTGCTGATAGTATTAATAATTTTCAAAAAGAGTAATATTTTTAATGGAACATCACTGGACATAAGTTCAGCTAAGTTACTACTTGGATAAATGTTTTATGTTTTATTAAATTAATAATGCTGGGGATCTGTTTATTGTTAATATTTCAGTGGCCCGTGGATATTAATGTGGAGGAGTTAGCTTCAGTCACAACTCTGAGCTCATCATTCTTTGATATTTCTCCTGATTGCATTACCATGATGTTTCCTTGTGTGTCTTCATTCATTTAAAACTCTTACTTTTCTGGGGCACCTGGTAGCTCGGTGGTTAAGCGTCTGCCTTTGGTTTGGGTCAGTTTCTCAAGGTCCTGGGTTCGAGTCCCACCTCGGGCTCCCTGCTCAGTGGGGAGCCTGCTTCTCCCTCTGTTCCCCCCCGCCAAATAAATAAATAAATAATTTTTTAAAAAACACCTCTTATTTTTCTTCATTATCGTTCTGTAGAACCACATCATTTGCAGAATTTTGGAACTTGAACCCAATTTGCATTTGAGGATCAAAACCTTATGATTGTAGTTAGTGATATTTTTGTGCTCATCGCAACATAGTTTATTTTATACCAGACTTTATAATAGCCATTTAAGAAGCTTTATATACTTACTTCTCCATAAAGTAACATTTGTGTTCTTATAATTAGATGGTTATTTATGGAGTTTTTTTTTCCTTCTTGTTAAATAAGATTACATTAATCATTTTTTAGACTGTGATATGAAAGCTAATTTTTATACCTTTCTATATATATATTTAGTATATATTTAGTAATTATGTATGTTAAATGGCTCTTGCTAAAAGTAGATCCCACCAAGAGACACAAGGAAAATGTGTTGAAACTAATATTGTTTATATCTCTCCCTCTTTTGATTAATGTAAAACACCGTCATTTCTTTCAGTTGCCTGGGAGGGAATTTGAATGTCCATCTGCTGCTAGATAAGTCAAAGTCTGGCCTATCTTGTGTAATTAAAGAAAGTTAAGCTTTGTTTCAAAGTTAGAGATGCTTTTATTTCTTTATTCTTGGGTTACATGTTTATGGATTCAGTGTAAGGGAATTTCTTTTTTCTGAAAAGATGAATGGATGGGAAGCCTGGCTGTCTCTGTCAGTAGAGCACATACTCTTGATCTCAGGGTTTTAAGTTTGAGCCCCACGTTGGGTGTAGAGATTACTTAAGAAAAAAAGAAAACAGGTGAATGAATGTGTTTAGTACCTCCGGAAAATGCTTTTGCCCTTCTTATTCCTTTACTGGAATGGTCC